CCTGTATAATGAGGAACGCTGAAACCTAACAGCTGAAACCAGGATTTTTAATTCTGTTTTTCAAGTTTTCAGACCTTGAGAAGTGACTGCAGCCAGGCGGCATTGAGCAGACTGTGGAGGATCTCTGCTCCGTCGATGTCCTGACTCACAGACTGCCTCACCTCCTCTATGACGTCAGAGAGGATCTGACGCAAACCTGCAGCACAAACTCAGACACGTTAGCAGAAGGCTGAATCTGTGGTTAACGTGTGCAAGCACATTATCAGTAAACCATAAAACACTCCTACTGACCGTGTTCTCCCAACTCACAGTGCGGATTTAACACCTGAGCCTCCACCGCCTGCCTCATGGTTACAGAAAGCTTGACCTTTGACCCTGACCACCTGCTGCTGCTCACCAGGACGGGCAGTAACCTGGAGATAAATCAGTTTATTATAAGATTTGTGCAAAAGTATCCTGAAATATTCGATCAGACGATTCATAGAGCTGGAGCTTTTTAAGGTGGAGCTGATTGAGTTTTAACTCTTCATGTTCTGTATATTATATCCCTTACATATATGGAAACCTTAAACCACTTAGTATTGATAATAATAACAATTATTATGATAATAATTATTACAATAATTATACAACATGTGAAGTAAAAGCAGACTTTGTTCCTCAGAGCTACTGAGAACTCAGCAGGGTGAAGGAGAGGGTCTGCAGGTTTAACAGGTGGTTATTTCACAAAAGGCCAGTTTGAGCATTGCACGGTCTGATCTTAGGGTGAACTTTACCCCAACACCCTGATTTATAGAAGTACTCACACTTATTAATTATTCAGTCAATCAAGTGATTAGCAGCATCTGGCTGACAGGATGACTTACTCTGATGTTTTAGGCTTCATTAGCTCTGAAGTTGCTGCAGCTTGTGGCGTTTGTCTAGTTTTGCATTGTGTTTTTGTGTCTTACTAGTCTGTACAAAACACCATCTGAGCCTTTGACTCTCACGTTTCTACTCAGATAATGAAACAGTTGCGTTGAAACCTCTATAAGCCTGTTTTTATTTAGCGCAAAAATATCAGGAGTGAATAAAAGAGCTCCATCAGCTCCATCTTATCCAGGGATTTTACAACTAGCAGCTACATCTGGTGTAATCTTTTTCACCGCAGTTAACCCTGGGAGGTCTAAATACTCCTAACCCCCAACCCTAAGCTATAACAAAGTAGTTCTTTGCAAAAAGATGGCAAAATTTAGTTTCTTTCCGAAAAAATAAGGGCATTTTTTCCTTTATTCAAAAACATGAAAGCTAAGGTGACAGTCAGACTTCACAGGGTTTAAAAAACAAATCAGGGGTTCAGTAATCCAGAGCATCCATGTCCTCCTGCATTGACTCCAAAGTTTGAGAACCGCTGCACGAAACAATAGCATGCGCCGATTTAAACGAGCTCAGATTTATCCTCTTGTCACTCGAGTCTGATGAAAACCGCCGACATCTGTCACGTCATGAGCGGCCGAGTCTTTGAAAAGATTTTAAAAAGCAAGAAACATCACAAGGTCTGCTGGTACAGCTTTAAAAGATGAGCTTCACTTCTTAACATCCACCAGATCACCCACAGCTAGTTTAGGGTTAGGGCTAAAAAGTCAAATATTCAGAAACAAAACAAAACAAAACAAAACAGGCACAGAAAAGAGGTTTGCATTTTAAAAAAAAGACAATACAGATGTACTAATAACACTACAACAACTCCAACTGCCTTCAGTTTACTGTGACTTCCCTGTATAGAGTCTATGATATCCTTAGGTCTCCAAGTGAAGTATCTACATTAATATTTAGACAGTACCATCCATCAAGAAGGTCACACACCACATCAAACGTGGCTATAGTAAGATTTACGCCTTTCTTACCTAACCAAGATATGCATGAATTGGACTTCCTTTTACCTTCAGACTTGCTTTAACTCTTCCTGGCACGGCATTGATTCTTTTGTTGCCCAAAAAAATAAGTCCAAGCTGCTGGAAACTTTTGGACCATGTTGAAATGACAGCATCAAACAGCTACTGCTGATTTGTTGGCTGCACATCCATGATGCCAATCTCCTCCTCTCCTCCAGTTTGAGATGATTTTGAGCTTTGTGACATGTTGTGTTATCCTGCTGGAGGCAGCCATCAGATAAACTGTGTCAAAAGGTTGATTCTGTTCATCTGGACGTAGCGTTTTCAGTGGGAGAAATGTTTCCTCAACCTATATGATCAAGGAACTGACCTCCCAGCCCATTGTTCATTCAGTGGGCTGGTTTCAGTCATTATGCAATGACTTTTGTTAGTTTTGTCACAGTTATTCTGTCAGAGTTAGACGTGGACATTAACTCAGCCCTGAACCGACATAGGTCACAGGTGATCTGGTGGATGTTAGAAGGTTAATGATTTTAAATTTGTGATTTCATCGTCTACATGCATGACATTAAAACCTTTCTACACACATAATCAGGTTCAGACTTGATTTGTTCAAACTTACAGTTAATTTGCAAAACATCTGTGAAACGTGCAGTTAAAACTTTGAGGACCACATTTATGAACATGCAGAGGTGCAACCACAGCTCTAGCAGCCAGTGTGAACAGGATCAGTGCTTGAAGGCACACCTGACAGCAGCTGCCAATACAGAGTTTATAAATCATCTCAATATCTGAGATGGTTTACAGTGTACATTTGGTCACTTTGACACGAATAATAAAACCAAAGAATAATGCTGAGAGGATTTTTTTTTGCCTTTGTTTCCCCCAATATGTCTGTAAATACTCACATAGCCACTGTGAGGGTGAAGTTAGTGAAAGGGTGAGGGTAGACAGACGTAACAGAGCAAGATAGCTGCTGGAAAAGTGGATATTTTTTAAGGAATAAACCAGTAGGATCTCCTCAAGGAGTAAACACCTATCCGGGATGATCCCTGTGGCCTTCCTCCAATCCAAGCCCTCCTCTCTTCAACCAAATCAACCCTGGCGAAGCTTACCGCTACACCTGCAGCCTCGAAGACTCCTCGCGCCGTCACCCTCCTCGTGCCGGTGTCAGCTCCAGCACAGCAGCAGGTAAATGTTTATATGATGGGAAAATATTCCCAGGAGAGCAGACAGAGCGCTACGCTTTCATCGAGCTGAACGAGAGAGAGAGAGAGAGGGAGGGCTGTAATCCCTCCCGATCCCACTTAATCCCAGGCAAGTGAGCCGCCTGCCTCTGGCCACCGGAGACCTGTTCCCCCCTCACTGGCTGGCTGGTTGCTGCTGAGCTGCCAAATCTTCTTAACTTTTTCAGCTTCTATCAACACACATGGAGGAGGGCTGAAAGAAAAGGGAGAAGCAGTTACTTCAAGAGACACGAGAGAGTTTATGAATGTTACATTGCACTTTTTCTACAATAAACCATCGGGAAAGTCAACAAAGTACACATAGGTAGCAGGTTTTAAGGCTGAAAAAGACCTGAAAGAGTAATTAAAGAATCAGATAATCTTCCTTACCAGCTGGGGGAAGAAAAAAATCTGGCAGGAGTGAATATAATCTCCTGATTGGTAATCCAATTCCTACTGAAAATCAACAAGATCTCCCCTCCCTCCACATGAAAACAGGTCTAAGGCATCTCATTGTACCCAAAACACTGAGATTATTGTTCAAGGATCTGGATACGCTGGATGGATTTTCCCCCTTCCAGCAGAAAAAAAAAAAGAGCAGTGATGCCAGTGGGATTTATTGAGCCACCCTTGACATGCAACAAGCTCTTTTTGACCTGTAAAAAAGGAACATCTGTTATTAAAAGTGAAAATCTTCTCAAAATACCTTCAAACTATGACCTTTCCTACAAAAACAGTTATAGTGAGTAACTGTTTTAAGAAGTACTGAAAAAAGACAGTTTAGACTCCAATTTGCTTAAGTGAAAGTACAAAAGTATATATTTTTATACTTGACAATGAAGTACCTAAAACAAAAGTCCTCATTAGACACATCCACAAGCATGAACCATAATTATATATTTTTTAAAGTCTCTATCACATTGTTATTATCTGCAAGTACAGATTATCATCCGCTGTTATACAGGTGATACACCACTATACGTTCCCCTCGTTCAATATTATGGCTTGTCTATAATATGTTAATTACTTCCTTAACCAATCAGTTTCCAAAGTTGAGGTCTTTTCATTAAACTTGAAAGGAGGATCTGTCCTCGATCACAAGGAATTCCACCTGTATCCTGGGTGTGATGACCAAGGTCTCCAACTAAGAAATGTTGCACATTAAAATATTTTCTATCGCAAACAGAACATGCCTTCTCCTCATTGTGTTGAAAATTTCTTGAATTCCACCTCCCGCATCCAGCTCATTTAAAACTCAAAGGATCAAATGCACCACACTCATTACACTGGATTAAATACAGGGAGACAGTATTGTGTACAAATTGTTTGATTATTTATTTATTTATTTTTTGTAGTAGTCTTGAGGAATAGTTCTTCAGGCTCCTTGAAGAACATTTGGCTTAAAAATAAAAGCTTTTCTGTTCTTTTTAGTCCAGTCCTTGTATCTGAACATTTTCAGAGGAATCTTTTTTGTTTGTTTGTTTAAGCCCCTTAACACTACGAATCATTCAGGCATAAAAAAGGCACCAAGCTCAATAAATGAGCCAGTGTCATGTTTACACATAACAGACAACTTGGCAAAGAACCCAACTGTTCTTAAGGAGGAGAAACAGGGATAAAAGGCTGAAGTATGCCAAATTACATAAGAACTGGATTGAAACTCTGGTCTGATGGAGAGATATGTACAGTATGTACAGGAAAGGTCAGGAGAGAGGAACCACACAAGCACCATCAGATTTTGATCACCCGTGTAATACCATCTAAAAACATCTGATTGGTGACGGTTTCCTTCTTTAGCATGAAAATAATGCCAAACACACAAATATTGATTTTCAAGCTTGTTAGAATTGTATGAATTGTTTTTGCTCTTGTATGTTTACATGTTTTATTAAATCGCTGCACCATTTTCCGAACAACATACAACAAAAATCTAAATCAAAATACAAACAAATGAAGGGTGGGTCAAGACTTTTGCACAGCACTATATAGAAATAAATCTTTTATTACGTGCATGGACTTGATTCTACCTGCAATACAAATTTACTGAGAACCTCCAAAATGTTCCCACAGTTAGCAGAGGAACTAAGCCCACCATCTACTTTCAAATCACTCCTTAAAATGTACTTTTCCTTGTTTTGTGTTTGTAATTCCTGATTTTTCTCTGTGAGGACAACTTGACAGTTACCTGTTTGACAGTGGAGGATGTAAGATTGTGAGTTGCAATTTGAAGTTAAAAAAACTCAAACATGTATATGGTTATTTGAGATTGTACATACGAGTGACAGTATTTTACAATCAGTTCTGTAGGATTGTTATTTTTTTTCTTGTGTTCAGATTTTTTGTTACAAATTTTTAAATAAAATATAAATATTGCAATTACTGAGAATATATTTTTATTATATTAAAATATCATTTTGAGTATATATGCAGGGTTGCTCCTCTATATTTTTCATCTCATTATGTGTGAAGTTGACCACTTTGTACAAAAGAAAAAAAAGATGCAACAGCAGGCATACGGATAAATTCCAGTTTAAGGAAAAGGCTGCAAATGACATGCATTTGGTTTTACTAAATTATATGTGCAATTTAAAACTGATTTAAAAAAAAAATACAAATAAAATGTATATTCAATGAAATGTTATATATTTGATGTGGAACATGACTATCATTATTATTCCAATACAGTATCCAAATTTTTGCTGGGTTACTTTTAACATTCACATGTATGTGAAAATAAATACGTTGCCAAGTTTAGCAAAAAGAAAAGAAGTTTACATTTTAGCAGTCTATGGTGCCTGTAACAGGAGAGCTTTTTTTTTATTAATCATGAATTCCTCACAAAGTTTTATGCCCCACCTCACAAGATGATAAAGTTGCAGAAACAATCATGAGAGCTAGTATGCAACAGACGTAACTTTTGCCAGTGATGCACAGCGTGTGAATGCTTGACTGTGGCTGACCCATCAACACGTTACAAAGAGCATGAGATTCAGGCTTTTCATTGGGACTTAAATATAGATTATTTTTTAAATTTTCAAATTTAATTTAAAAAAAATTACCATTTCAGTACTTTCAACTGTAAAGTGTGATACAACTTACAAAAAACATTAAAGAATACATTTTCTATTTATATTTGCACACAGGAAGCCCATATGATTTTATTTTAAGTAAGAGAACTGGATTATATCATTTTAATTAAAAATTTCATTAAAAAAATATATACTCAAATTTGGAAAACGTTACTTTGTAGAATAGCATTTTCATTTACAAGTTTTCAATCACTAGCTGCTTTTCCACCACAGCACCCAGGTCCTCTCGTAGGGACTCGAGCCAGAAATGTCTTGCAGAAGAAAACATTCACCTCCCACAAAAGTGGCTGTAGCTGAGTCGAGTAGCCTGATTGCAGCAACATCTCCACGATAAGTGGGTGCGAAGGAAGGAAGGAAGGAAGGAAGACAGACAATGGAGGCAAAACACCTAAGTGGATTTCCACCAAAATGATTTTATTGCCCTTTGTTATCAACTAAAAGTACAACACGTTTGACATTGTGCAAAAGACACAGGTGGGCCCGTTGACAAAACAGCCGTTGGTGCATTTGGTAACCAGTTGCAGGGTTTAAAATATCAGCGCTTCCTTCAGTTTACACTTAGCACAAAAATACTCCACTCAGTCTGGACTAAATAAAGTCAGTCAGTGTGTGAACAACCACTACATCAGTAATCTGGTTTCAAAGTCAGCCGCATCGCTGTCAGAAAAAACTGTTTTCATGGGCAGCAGTGAATCATGTCAGCCTTCAAATTTAAGCTGAATAAAATATACAAGAGATGATGCTGAAGAACACCCGAGGGCGCCTTCTCTAGTCAGTGAAATAAGAAGAGAGCCTGGCTTAAACATCAAATAAATGTTAAACCCAAAGGCTAAAGTGTGTAGGATGCATTCTAGGGATGAACTCGGTGAACTCGAAAAAAAGACAATACTGCTTCATTTCCACGAGGATCGGGCACATTTGGGCTCATGAACACAGACGGAAGATTATAAAATGATTTTTACTGCACGTGTGAGGACACCACTTCACCTCAGATACAAGCAGCAACATCATCACATATCAGTTTAGGTTCAACAGTATAAGAAGTTCCCATGAGGTTTAAATTTTACAACCTCTGACAAACAATTTTCTGCTTGATTTTCGAATATCCTGCAGGGCGAGAGCAGCGGCTTTACCTCTGATCCGCTGCTATTTCTATTGTCGAAACTATCAGACCAGGGCATGAACAGCAACAAAAGGAAGAATCCCCTCTTAATCCCTTTTTAAAGTGGCATGTGTGACGCAGATCACAAGTAAGCAACAGTGCCTGATGGTTTTGGGGGGGGAGCAACATTAGCAGATGGTGTGAAGCTTTGAACTCTATTATATCTATAACAGCAACGTTAAAGCAGCTTGCCTCTCGGCTCAGACATCACTCGCAAAAGGCAAAATACACATTTCTGTCCTTCTTGTGATTAAATCAGAATTCACATTGGACCGCTTGCATTGATTATTTTGCAGATCAGTGAGGTTTAGACCTTTAGCTGGTGGTTAGTTTCCTTCCTTGGCTGTGTGACCTGCCTCCACATGATTAATAGAAACACTGTCAGGATATTTGCAGCTTCCTGCAGCATACAAGTCAAACGTCTCTGCATACTGCTAAAGGACGATTTCTACAAACAATTGTATAACAACAAATTTGCATAAAGCTAAAAAGTGTAACCACAGAGCGAGGAAGTGGATGGCTAGTAGCTCAAAATGAAGCAGTGATGAACGAGAAAGCTTCTCAGGTGGAAACAAGCCGTCAGGTAGCGTTAATACAACATAAGTGAATTGTACAACGTCACTGTCATTGTACTGTAAAAAAAAAACAAAAAAACGAAACTTATGTCTAAAAAGCAGAAGGAATTTTCTGCTTTTTTGGGAATAACATTTTAAAAAAACTCACATCTTGTCCTCAACTCCTAAGATTAAAGATTTGAATTGTTATTTTTTATTCGTGTGTAATAAGACTGTAATAAAGAGCAACACAGGTTCTCCAAAAGCGCCAAATTTCCACCTCCTACCACCACCTTGCAGAGCTGTAAGACTGTCCTGCGAACACTGGGCTCAGAAATACAAACCAAAGACACCTCCTGCAAAATGCTGTCAATGAAAAGACATTTCTGTGTACTGAATAATGAATAGCTCATCTTAAAAAAAACAAACATTAAATACATATTTTTCCTCTGCCCTGCAGGGCTGGTTGTTTTTTATTGTTTCCTCTAAAGGTAAGTCTTCTCTTTAATCTTATGAACATAAAACAAACCAGGTGGCACTGTACGCCTTGTGGTGCTCAAGGCATTAAGAAGTCTTGAAAACTAATTTCTAGACTACAGGAACTATGTTCGTTCTTCCAACCACCACTGCTCCCAGTACACCTGGAAATGGATCCCTGTGCAGAAAGAAGCATCATATGACAGGACATGAACATGGACGGCAGCCGCTTGGCTGAGCTCTGATGTTAGCTTGTTTGGTCTGTAGGTGGTCAAAGAAAATGTTTCCACCATTTTATTAAAATACCCAGATCATGATTTCTAAATTTAGACATAATTTCTGAAGCCTCGTTAATGTTAACAGAACCTGCTGTGTAGACTATTAAAGTGACGGCTCTGTAACCAGTAACATGCTGGTGTTAGCAGCAGGAAGTAAATTAAGCTTTTTCCAGAATGTCTTTTCAGGATCTGTTTTGATGATATGTTAGAAAATGAGTTCAGGTCTTTTCAGATCACAGATAGGTAAAGACCCACACGATCGCAAATTTGCTTCTGTAATTGAGCCAAAGACTCCAAAGTGGTGGTGAAGTCGCTTTTGATTTTACCTTAGATACCACTTTTAAATGGCATGAAAAGCAACTAAATCCTCATCAAGTCAGCAGCTGCTGTGAGTGACAGTGATGTGAGGTGAAACAAAAGGTTTTTCAGTCTTACTTACAAGATATTTAAACGCATTTGCTTTGCTGCTTTGAACACCACAAGTTGAGCATCTCTACAGCTGATATCCCCCAAAAAACAGACACCAAAATAATGTATGCACTAGAGGCCAGAGGAAGGATACACATTTTAAATGTAACAGTCTGAGGTTATGTTCAGAGGACATGTGAGTATGCTTTCAAGTCAACAATCCGGCTGAAGCTTGCGCTTCAAATGAAGAAATAAAAAAAATCTTTATAAGCAACTGTTTAGATTCAGGTCCGTTCACTGATGCTGTAACACGTTCTTTCTTTAAATACAGTATGAAAAGGGGCTGTCAGCTCGCCCAGATAAATCCTCTCCAAAGAAACTTTGAACGAGTGTCAGTTTTACTTGCAAAAAAAAAAAACTTCCTTCAGGACCGTCTCCCCCCCTGCAGTGCATAACAGCCACTAACCGTAGCCATCCATCTCAGATTATAAAGTTCATGAATCCACAGTTTATGGAGTTACTTCCTCTTCATGTAGCTTTCACTGAAAATAATTCATGTTTCCAGATTTACTGTTTTTTTTTAACATTAAAAATTTTAAGGAGAAAAAAATGAAGTCCGGTATCCCACAGACAAACTTTGCACTCCCTCCCTGCTAAAGGTGATTTAATAACTAACTAACTAATAAGTAATTTAAGTCATCTTTATTCCCCAACTCCACCCACATGGATGGTGCGACTGTGCTCGCGTCTGTAATCACGGCCACATTTCTACCTTCATCACCTGTGGATGATGAGTGTTTCAGGGAGGGAGGGTCTGTGACGGGATGTGTCCAAGCAGCATTCGACGACCTGTTCTTATGACCCCTCCTCCTCCCTGTCAGTCATACTCATGCCCGGCTACTGGAGCTGAGAGGAGGGGAGTGGAAAAGCAGCAGCATGAAGGTCACCGAGGACGTAGCAGCAGTCTCGTCTTAAGTGACCTTCTCATGCTGGATCTGGTAGTAGCAGGCCTGCAGGGGGGAGAGATACCCGAGTGACCTAAAAGTTTTGAAATGCTTGCAGACGAAGCAGCGTGAGCTGCATGTGCGTTACCTTGAGGGTGGTGAACATGATGCCGTGTTCTCCATGCTGGACGCAGGGGTCCATCAGGTCTTCGATCAGACTGACCTCAGAACCGAGGTTCCTGATACTGAAGAGAGAAAGAAAAAAAAAGCCAACCTTTGAGTCAGATCTGCTCCTTGCTCGTCATGTCCGGTTTCTCGTATTGTACCAAGGCTGTGACGCTAAAAGAGTCCACTATGAGGTGCCATATGTGGACCTAGCAAATGGTAGCCACTAGCTCTTCTGCTCTGCCTCATTTTCACTCATTTCAGCCACTGAGCTGAACCTCTTGACCATGTTTGATGATGGATTATCTGACAAATATAAAATGACTCACTCTGTGCTAAAAGACAATCCAAGACATTTGTTCTCATGTGTATGTGTGTACTGCATGGAGATACGCTCCACACTCTCATACCACAAATGGTCATTAGGTACACCTTCCTTGTTCAAGGTTGGACCTTCTTTTTGGTTCAGAGCTTCTTTAACTTTTCATGGCATAGATTAAACAAGGTGCTGGAAACATTGCTTAGAGATTTTGGTCCTGACACATTGATATGAGGCAGTAAGGCCAAATTCTGACTGTAATGTTGGTGAGACCAAGACTCATCAGACCAGATGATGTTTTTCCAGTCTTCTATTGTCCAATTTTGGTGAGACTGAGCGATTTGTAGCCAAAGTTTCCTGTTAGTAGCTGAGAGGAGTGGCACCTGGTGTGGTTTTGTGCTGCTGTCGATGTGGTCTTCTGCTTACGTGGTTGTAACAAGTTGTTAATTGAGTTACTGTTGCTTTACTATCACTTTGAAGGAGTCTGGCATCAGCAAGACATTTTCACTGCTGCTCAATGGATTATTTTCTCTTTTTCACACCTCTAGAGACCAAAACATGTGTTGGGGAAAATCTAGATCAGCAGTTTCTGAAATACTCAGAATAACCACCATGCCACATAAAATCACTTAAATGATCCTTCTTCCTTATTCTGATGCTCTCCATACTTAAAAGCATGCGACTGGCTGATTAGATATTTGCATTAATGAGCAGTTGATCAGGTGTGCCTAATGAAGTGGCCAATGAGTGTAAATTTTCTCATGTTTGCAGTGCAAACTCCGTCCTGTGAAGCATGTCACTGATCTGCTACAACTGTCAAGTCATTTGAGAGCAGCTGGGATGGGTGTAGGTCTTCGAATAAGTTGAACAGCAGTATTATTGACTGAAATGGCCTTCCCCACCATCACGTAGAACAATCTCCACATTTAAGAAGCTGAAACCTAAAACTTTTGGTTATGCTTACAAAAATAGCAAAAGCCCTTGCAGTTTTTTTTAAGCCATTCTCCACTGCTTGTGTTTCTGCCCACACCTCATTATTGCTATTTGTTTCTGTAAATGTGTGCATTACTGTGCTTTTTTTGTGGTTCAATGCTCACCGCGCTCGTAGTACCACATAGAGGAAGACAGGGAAGAGGTCGTCCATGGACCACAGGAAGTCCTGCTTCAGAAGCGCCTGGACCTCCTGTGTGATCTCCTCGAAAGTGAGCTGGATCACCTGCAGCTTGTCTGATGGCGTGAAAGTTGTGCTGCAAACGAAAAGAGGACTTCTAGATGAAGGATGAAAGAACCAACCACTGCCCCTCCCCTCTGCTGTATTTTCTTTAAAAGTATTATGAGCCGTTGAATGGAGCCGTACCTGATCTGCTGTAGTGTTTCCACTGCAGAAGCAAAGCAGGCGTCTTTGGTGCTGGAGATGACCTGGACAAGTCGCACAGCAGAACAAACACGCTTTACATCTTTATAACAATAATGGATGCAAACAACATCCCCTTTGTCTTTAAAAAAGTACTACAGAAATAAAATTCTTAACAACAGTAAGGAGACTTAAAAGACTGAACTGAGGGATCGCTATCAATTTAAACCCATCATAAAAATGACCTAACAGGATCTTTTACCTTTGAGATGAATTGTCTTTAACAGTGTCATGTGTAAATTAGCAAATATTTAACTTAAGATTAAGTCAAAAGAAAAAAATCCAAAACAAAACAAGTTAAAAGAAATTAACAATGACCAATCAATGTCAGCACAGCCCCAAAACATCTGAGCTAGTTTTGGAAAATATGAACAAAATGATACCTGTTGCTTCTCGCCAGGCGCAGGCAAAGATGTTGGGATGGAAACGGGCCAAAACTTTCTGACAGGAGGAAAACAGAAGAAGAAGAAGTAGTATTTATGGATCTGCATAAAATAAAAACAAACTCTTCAACAGCCGCATGTTCAGCTCTGACGTACTGCTGGACGCCCAGGAAGGCGAGCAGGGCGAGGTCGGGCTGCTTGTTGAGGCGCAGGACGCACTCCCAGTACACGTCGTCCTCTCTCTCCTTGTCCAGGGCGTAGAGGGTGAAGAGCGGCGGGTAGAGGCGGGGCAGAAGGACAGGAAGCAGCAGAGCCGAGCTGCTCACCACGCGGCTGAAACACAAACACACGGAGGAAGTCGTTAATAACCAGAGCCTGCTCACCGGAGATATGGCAGCAGCGGGACGTGGATCCATCCTTACGCAGGTTTGGGAGACTCTGGCATGGCATCAGTGGAATCGGGCTCATTCTTCTCCTGCAGGTCGGTGGTCGGCTCTGGGATTAGACCGCCCTCTTCTGGCAAGTCTGGGAATAAAAATCTGAACCAAAGCAAAGAAAAACAAACAATAAAATCGTGTAGAGTCATCTAGAAAAATGTTTATTTGCCTTTGAAATCCATAAGCTCGTCTCACAGTTCCCCCTCCTCTCCGCATTACTGACAACCTGAGGACATTATGAGGCGATCTTGGCTGTTATGCAGACATGAAGGACATGGGATCCATTCACAGTGACTACCTGACAATCAGGAAGATGCGGTTGAGGTAAGATTTAATCTCGCTGACGGCCTGATGCAGGAGCCGACGGTTGGCGCCAACACCCACGTAGGTCATCCTGTAGACCGCCACCAGGGTCTCCAGCAGCCGACCCAGAGGGTGCAGCGGAGTGTCACACGCCTGGAGGACAAAGGATCATTTTGTCAATGCTGTGCCTGCTCAGGGGTCTCATCGATAACACTTCCTTTAATGCTCTGCAACACTGATCAGGAAAACAAGACGACCAGAATTTGCTGCCCATTCATTTTTATTCAGCGTTAATGATTTTGAGCTTTAGCTGTTAAAAGTATGTGTAGACTTATTCATTTAGGACTCAATGAACGCTCTAATCAATCAAAAAAAAAAAAAATCAATCAGCACAATAATCATTAGTTGCAACCTGTTAAAGAGCTCCAATATACTCTAAAAACCTGTTTGCAGGTTAGTATATCAGCAGTTGTTATTGCCACTGGTACTTTTACTTCATCGACTCGGTGAACCCACCTTGATTAGGTAGAGGCGGATGGCGTTGTATCTGTCCATGGTGATCGGCCCTACGTGCTGCGGGATGACTTCCAGACTCTCCAGCGTTTTGTTGTGAGATCGAGACAAAATCTCCGGACTTGGGATGCACAAACATTGGGAATCTTAGATTCGAGATGTTTTTACTTCAACAGGAAGTTTTATGACCAATAAGAAGGCGTCAGGTGGTACCTGTCCAGGATGTGTCGCTGGCTGGTGGTGAGGGCCACAGCGATGTTCTCCCAGGCCTTTTCGGGCTCCCCTCGGCCCGGAGCCTCACAGCCCAGCTGACTCCAACACTCCTCGAAAACCGCCGGCCACTTATTCTCGGCGCACACACACAGATGACCCAGCTTCCTGCTGCATCAACAAACAATATAAAGTATATACAGACAAATTAAAGTTTGCTTTAACAAACATGAGACCACTCATGAGCTTACATGGCTTGGGTCTTGTCCTTGTCGGTGTCGAACAGGTGTGGTTTAAAGTAGGAGCCCGTCACTTTGAGACCAGAGCCCCATTCGCCATTGAAGGAGCCCTCCAGGTAGTCACCATTGGGCATGGTCAGCACGCCCTGAGGGGGAGCCAGGACATTTAATAACAAGTACCTGCACTCGGTATTAGATTTAGAAGAAAAAATGAAAAGTATTCATATTTAGTTACCTTTCCACTGAGGGTCCAGTCGTCTGAGAATTCGCCCTCGTACGTCGTGTCGTCCTCTGACAGAAGGACACCAGTGCCCTGAAAGAGTCATCATCTCCCATTTTAAACACACATTTATTATGTCTACATATAAATATGCATATATATATATATAATGAGACGTGAACCCGGACAATCAGCGCACTAAAAATGTTAATTTATTTCAGTTTTTGCTGAAACTGACGGAGCTGCTGTTACAGTGTTTGCTACAAGAACACACAGACTGCACATCCAATGAGCTCACTGTTAATCTGGAAATGTGACATTTCTGCATTATGTGTTTGTATCATTTCATCTCTGGGCTTCCTGTTTCTTTCATTTAAGGAACATATTTAAATTGTAAACTGTTTTTCCTTTTTCCAGCTGAACTGGAGACAATTACTCACACATTTATGTCATTGTGCTTCTTCCTGTAAAGCTCTGTTTACTGGCTTAGATTTTAAAATAGACATTTTTAAATTCTTGTACTTACTTATAGAGCCCTAAACGGACAATGGACAGATCTCAGCTTCTTACTAAACACACTGCGGCTTGATGACAGGCTCAGGATGTGTTGGTTGTTCCTCATGACAGACTCGTACCTCTCACATCTACGTTTATCTGACTCTACAAGCAGCTGACAGCTTGTTCATTAACCAGGCTTACTGTTGAGAATCTTAATGATAGTAAATGTTTTTAATGATCTTTTCTGTGTCACAACTTTATTTTGTATTGTTATCACCTGTATTTTAATTTTCTATTACACTTATATTGTGATTATTCTTTGTTATTATTCATTCTATTTTGTTGTACATCTCTTTGTGACCTCATGTCTGTGAACATTGCTTTATTTCCTTCCTTCCTTCCTTCCTTCAGGCATTTCTGATGATGCCCAGCTCTACTGAGAATTTAATAAAAAGCGTAAAGCAGCTCTGGTTCTTACATCATCTACATATATTTGAAGGAAAATGAAGAAGAAATCTTTGCAAAAATGACTGAATATTATACTACTCAATGATTTAAATTGTTCTACTTCAGGGTTTTTCCTGAATATGAAAAAAATTGATTTTGTCCTTCCATCAGAAGGAAAATCACCAGAACTGTGGAAAAAAATATTTTTAAGCAGGGTTTAATTTATTTAAGCTTAAAAATGTTGTTTTGAATAGTTTTGCTTGTGAACGGCAAAAATAACAGGAAAATACACAGATTAATGTCATACGCCGAACGACAGATGTGCTTTGAAAAAACATGAAAACTGAAGAACGTCTGCTGTTGTGACACACTGAGACAACTGGGGATAAAACCTCTGAGCTGCTCACCATCATCTTGTTGTCTTTAAAAGCTCCTTCATAGTACAGGCCAAACTGGGTGACCACCACTCCGGTGCCCTGCCGCTGGTGGTCCTGCCACATGCCCATGTACTTCTCTCCTCTGGAAAGCAAACAGACAGCAGCCTGTTTATCCCTTCATATGTGTAATATCAGAAAGCTGCCAGTAAATTTAGAGGCAAAAGAACTGTCTGAGTGTGGGAATGAGCGTACTTGGTGATATCGTCAAAGACTCCATAGCCGGTCTTCTTGTCCTGCAGCCACTGACCAATGAAGACGCTGGGGGACGAGGTGTTCAGTTTGCCACTGCGCAGCATGCCGTGACCGTGCCGCACGCCCTCCTGAAAGGACCCGTCATAAACTTCACCGCTGGCATACCTGCAGTCAGATAGAGGAGGGGTGCTCTCTTACAACACAGCTGTTTCATCTATGACTGAACCTCAATCTCTTCTTTTATTTTGAAATTTCACTGCTAAAATGCTTCCTACGTCGTCTCTGATTTAAAGGAAAGCAAGCAAGAAGAACTTCTTTTATCAGGTGACAACATTTGCTGATGAGAAATCTCCCTCAAAACTGTTGTAAGTATGTTTAAATATGGTTGCTGATAGTTAGCTCATCTTCACAAGAAAGAAAGCACACACAGGGTCAAATATATACTGCACCTCGACCAGACACTTTTTGTAGCAATCAACATTTCATTGTTTGGTTCCTTGGCACGGATCCGGCTTTTAAGCATTGTCCACAAATTTTCAACGGTTGTGGCTTTGGGAACACCATTCCAGAAGCTTAATGCTAGCATGCTTTATCCATTTAATAAAACCAGGTTTGTTGTGTGTTTGGGATCATTGTCCTGTTGGAATACCAACTGTATCCAAGTTTCAACAGTCTAGCTGATGATTTGAGATGGAGTTGAAGAATTTGGAGGTATTCCTTCTTCATTATTCCTTCCCCTTTGTGCAATATACCAGTACCACTGATACCAGTAATGCTGGCAGCAATACAGCCCCAGAGCATGATGATATCCCCACCATGTTTGACAGCTGGCACAGTGCTCTTAGGTTTGAAAGCCTCACCTTTACTCCTCCAAACATGCGTCTTGTCATTGTGGTCAAAAAGTTAAATCTTCCTGTCATCTGACCATAAAACTTTTCTCTAGAAGGCATTTGGCTCGTTAATGTGGGCATTTTCTTTTTTGATCAACACCCTCTCAGTCCATGGTGATGTTCTTCGTTGTGGACAGTGATGCTGGTGACTTCCACATTGTTTTGAAAATTGGTCAAACTAATGAGGCAAACGTATAGAGAAACTACCAGTTGTAGTCAATCATAATCACTAATGAGAAGTTAATAGGTCTTAGCCTTATTAGGTTAAAGGCATCGTAAGTGAATGCATGTATATACTTGAGCATGTATGTATACGTTAGACCGTGTGTGGATTAGAAATCCAAAATGAACTCAGAATTGTGCATTAATCTAGCCAAACATCATCGTAATCATAATAATAGTAATTATAATAAAGGGCATGCTGCTGAAAATAATACATTTTCATGCTGCTCACCTGTATGTCCCCAGGCCGTGCATCTTGCCATCCTTCCAGTACCCTTGATAGTGGTCGTTCTTGTTCAGCGTCTTATTGGGGGCCACAAACTCACCAAAGCTGCATAAACAAAAGGAGATAAATCACGCTCTCAGGCTTACACACCCACACACAAATTGAACAATTACCATAAACAACTAGGAGATTTTAGGCTCCAGCACTCACCCATCTTCTAGTCCATTCTTGAATGCCCCAGTATATATTCTCCCATCAGACCATTTCAAAACACCTCTGGGAAAACAAACAAACAAACAAAAAAAACACTTTCCAATTTCTCAACATACAAGTAAAATGATCTAAGTGTAAATGCAACAGTGTAAACATCCAACCTGCCGTTGGGCTTTCCTGACAGCCAGCGACCCTCATATGTCGCATCCTTCAGTCGCCCTTCCTTATAAAACGTGTACGAAGCCGTTCTGGAGATGGGAGGCTCCAACTTCTGCACCGAGCTGCCTGACGCCACGTCCTGTCCCTTTCCGCTCAGGGCCTGGTCCACCGCCTGGTTGATGGAGCGAAGCCACTTGGTCTAAGAATGAACAAACAGCCCAGTTCAGAAATAGAAATTGAGTTTTTTTAAAAGGTAAACATCAGCTTTTAAAGAGTTACCTTCTCCATGGGAGACGAGGCGAGGAGGGTGAGCGTCTCCTCAGGAGTGATCACCTTTAACCCATACCTACACGCACAGATACCCTTTGTTTTACCACGATATAAAAACTACACAGATGCAACAGTGAGGAAAGTTTAAGACATGGATATTTACAAGTTATGACAAAACGACCCTACTTCTCCCCTGAATTAAATCTCAGTAAACACTTTCCATATCATGCTCCAAGTCACTAGTTTCAAATCTTAGTGAATAATTCATGAGGTTCATTTTGTAAACTATGGTTCCTATCATGGTATAAAAGGATGATAAAGAAGAATATGCTTTACGATGAACATGCAATGCCCCTATGTTCCTCAGTCAGACTCCATCACTGCTGATGATGAGTTACTGAGGGGTCCCTCAGCAAAATGTAAACATTCAAGTATTTCCCAGGAACAATGGAATAGTATCTCTGCTTCATGTGCCCATGCAATTATAGTTGCATAAATATAATACAGTGCTGTGCAAAAGTCTTGAAGTCTTTTGTTCTGTTCTCTGTCAACATGATCCCAGACTGTTTCAATAATGTTGAGGTCCGGGCTCTGGGGAGGCCATGGCTGATAGAGTTCCACTGTGTGTTTTTATTTCCAGGTATGCTTTTACTTTATTGGAAGTGTGTTTGGGGTCATTGTCATGTTGAAAAATTAAACTGTTGCCAATCAGATGCTTTCCAGATGGTATTGCAAGGTGGGTCAAAGTCTGACGGTACTTTTTGAGTTCGTAATTCATTAATTTTAACAAAATCTCCAACACCACTGACTGAAATGCAGCTCCAAACCATGACAGAGCCTCTACTGTATTTTACAGACACTCACTGTTGTACCTCTCTGCTAACCTGCTCCCTACATACTGACGATAATCTGAACCCCAAAATGTCAAATCTGTATTCATCACTCCATCAGACCTGTTATCACTGCTTTTCCAGTTCTTATGTAAGGCTCTTTAAAGAGAAAGTTAAAAACTAAGTATGATCCTTTTCTTTTTTAAATGTAAATAAGAGTGGAGACTTGGTCATGGTTTGGGGATGACTAGGAGAGTTCAGGCTGTGTTGAAGAATAAAGGTGTCACACCAAATATTGACTTTCAAGCTCGTTACAATTGTCCAAACTCTGTTTGCCTATTTTATTTCCATGTATTTTCAGTGCACCCATTTCCCATTTTCTTAGCAACATAGTTTCCTGGCTCAAAAGGTCTGCAAAGAACTGTAAATATAATTACAAAGATAAGGTTTGTGTAATAACGACTCCAAAAGCTCCCTGTGAAATTCCTTCAATTATCATAGAAAAGCTGCAAACTTACAGGCCCGTGTCCTCCTCTGGGATCGGCTCCACCCACAGCGTGGCCAAAGGGAAGATGTGATGGGTGGAGAACTGGGGGAGAAAAAATGATGAAGGGAGGATAACAAGATAAAATGGAAAAGAGAGACAAGAAGAGACGGCATCAAAGAGAATATAACCACTGACGGTGAGTGAGAGAGACAGCGACATGAGCCCAACCACTACAAATGAGCACATCAGGTGATCGACAGACTTCACCAACGACCGGGATGCTTAAAGGAGAACAAGCAAACTGGGAACGACAACAAGTCCACATTTTTATATCTGTAAACCACTGCTTGCTTTAAACACCTTTTTTTTTTAACCTTTTCCTTATAGTTATTGTCATTTTTTAATGACCGGCACTACAGTGACTGTTTCAGACTGTACTGGTAACATCAAGCATCATAATCCCGCTTTTTATGAGAATACGATGATTATAAGGCTACAATTCTACTTCCGGATCCACTGTTATGAGAATAACAGCAGAGAGAGTTTATTCTTTTTAAAGAATAGTAAAAATCAACTACATGTATTTCAGGCTTGCATAAAAACATGTTTAAGCTTAAAATAGAAACCCAAGATTAAACATAAGACTAAAGCAGTCGTTCTCACGTCTTTAAAGAGGAAGTTAATCCTTTTTTTTTTGGCTTCTCACACGGGTCTTCTGCTTTCAGACACCACTTTGACCGTCCTGCTAACAGCTGCTGCTGAAGGTGTTAAAATGGTCAAACTTGTTTGTGCATTTCTGGCTTTTTAAACACTGACAAGACGAGGATGATTCAAGGGAGGTGCCAGTCAGAGAGCAAGGAGGGGAATCGAGATGCACACAGTCACATTAGAGATGATGAAGAGGAATAAAGAAGAATATTAAACAGAATGAAAAAGGAAAACAAGCAAGGAGAGGGGAAAGGAAACTGCTGTGGAGAAGTGAACCAGGAACTGTTGGTTTTTAACACTTTAAATGGAAACGGATTTGTGCTTTCAGCCAACAGCAGAAACCAAGCCTTTACCGGGAAAGGAGAACTTAACATGAAAGATTTTAGACTCCAATAAGGAAGACAAACAGAAGTGTGTCAGAGCAGATTTAAAAGAGCCTTGGTTACTGTCTGTTCATCTTTCCAAGCAGAATCCCACAGGTGGGGAGCAGGCGAAGGGCAGAGGAGGGGATGGAGGCTGGGCATTAGTGGACATATTCATGTAGTTTAGGTAGCGATGCACCCACAGGTTTTGATATTGTCTCAACGAGTGCGAAACACGAGGCAAACCGCTGTAAACACGTGTGCGTTTCAAAAAGTTCTTTAAATTTTTTAGTACAAAATTTCCTCCTTTGTCTTTCCGTGCATGCACGTAAATGTTTGTAAGCAGAGAGAACATAGCTGCCTTCCACTGAGCTCATGCTTTTTTGCTTTTTAATTAGGTTAATTGGCAGACTGGGTAGGAAGAGAGCATCTTAGAAAGACAGCACCTCAGAAGTTAAAGTGGGGAGAGTTTCACCAATCTGCGAAAGAAATGCTTGTCTGAATTGTGAAGTAATTTCAGAACAATGCTCCTCAATGTAAAGTTGCAGATACTATGACCATCTCACATCTACAGTAAAGAAAACCATCAGGATATTCAGAGAATCTGGAAATTCTGGAGAAATCTCTGTGCGCAATGAGCAGGGCGGAAGAAGAAGAAGAAGAAAAAAAAAAAGGTATTACCCAAATTATTCAGTCTGATTTCAAACGGTTGTAAACTTATTCATATGCTTAAAGAAATATTTTATAACTATTGGTATAATCATTTTATATATAATCAGTATAATTATCTCTTTGTTTCCTGTAAAAACCTGACTTATTACGCCCTATCCTAGCGTACCTTTAAGTGTTTGTAGGTAAATATCATTAAATTGTAATTTCAAGTAAAATACAGCAAAATATCTTTTAATTACAGTTAAATTAAACCCTCAGTTGCAGATTGTTTACAAAGTATTACTGATATTTGTTGTAGCACAGGTGCATCACTAACATAAACTCATTCAGATATTTGGGGCGTGGGGTCCACCTTAGTAAAGTGTGTCCAACAGGACCACATGTTATCACACAGGGTCCCCCCACAAGAAAAACAAAAAAACCCAAAGCGCGCGCACACACACACACACACGCACAAAACAAGGAGGAGGAGGTGGGAGATAGGGTGAGTTGGGTCGCTATGCTGAGTTTTGCTGCTGGCCGCATACTTACAAGATTTTTACAAGGCGCCACGCCCTGACAGCACGGAGGCAAGCACACACAAACGCTTGAAACACACCAGGTTACAGTGCCTGAAATATGATGGCTTCATAAAGGTGAAAGAGGCGAAGAAGTGACGGCAGCGTTCAGTGTGAGTGCGTGTGTCTGTGTGGGTCTAACCTGTGCGTGGACCAAAACATCGTTGAACAGGATGAACCAGTTGACGGAGAACCTGCCGGCATTCTGCAGGGTCAGACCTTTGTTGCTGCTCTCGCAGATCAGCCGCCGGTAAGGCTTCCGCAGAGAGTCCTGACGACAAACAAGGATGCCAATCGGCATTATGGGGCGTCACATGACACCTTGGGACTGAACGTGGAAGGCTTGGTGCGAGCAATGATACAGAAGATGAGGACAGAGTTTACCGTCATTTTTCCAGGAAAGATCTTCCAGAAGTGAACAGTGTAGTCGGCCTCTTTTCTTTTTCGCTTCAGTTGCAAGACCGAAGCTTCAAACTTGGAGCAGCTGTCCTGAAGCTTCTGGTACTCAGTGGAGCACTAAAAAAAAACAAAACAGTAGTTAATTTAGGTCAAAAATCTAAAACCTATATAAGATAAGGATTATTTAAAAAAAAAAAACATCATTATATATTTTGTAAGTATACAAATATTTCCTGTATTCCAGTATTTATTAAGGAGGAAACTGAAGGCTGTGTAAACACCAAACACTTGTTAGAAATATGAAAGTTACTATAAAACAAGGAGATTAAACTGTGTAGAAATGACAACACAAGATGAAACATGATGTTAGTAAAAAGAAGAAATAACAGAATACGAACTTTGAGGTCACATGCGCTGCTGCTCGTGTTTCTTCCACCTACCACTTCGAAGCAGGTGGCCAGTTTGAGCAGCAGCCGGCTGTATTCGTGAAGGTGGCGTGAAGGGAGGTAGAAGAGCACCACCAGGAGGTCGGCCGTGGTGAGGTTCTCCTCGCCGCACTCTGACAGCTTCTGGAGCAGCTCCGGACTTTTCCCAAACAAGTCTCTACGAGAAAATCACCACCGATTTATCATAAAAGATTCACTTTTTCATTTTTTAAACATGTGGAGTTAATGTAGAAATTGTTGGTGTGCACTCACATGGATGGTTTGGTCAGAGCCTGGAAGCCTCCCATCACCTGGAAGTTTCCGACGGCGCTGCAGTAACTTCATACATAAACACAAAAGCTAAAAGCGTTAAAGAATTTAAACTCTTAGCAAATGTTTCAAGTTGTGTTTTGTTTTTGGACACGTACTCGTTGTAACAGTCGAGGAAAATACTGGTGTGCTCCAAGATGAGAAGGCTTTTGACCTCACGACAACGCTGCAGGCTAGCAGTGAGGCTGGTGGCGTGCTGCCCAGTCAGGTGACACAGCCGGCCAAACCTGCTCGCCAGTGTCTGCAGGAGGCCGATGATGACCTGCCCGAAGGCTGAGCTCAGAGACTCTGGAGAAGGATGGGATAGGAAAAGAAGAAAATCAAGGCTGCTGAAAACTTTTTTAAACTTTGGGAAAACCTTTGTCTTCCTGATGTGTCCTTCTTACCTAGCTCCAGCAGAGGGCGTAAGATCTGAGACTTGATGTTACACAGCTTGCAGTAAAACCTCCTCTCAGCTGACGCGAGCTCGTGGAGGCTGGCGATGAAGCCCATCACATTCCTGTCAGAGAGTGCCACGCACCGCCGCCCACCCGCGAACACACTGCTCACATAACCAAGCTGGGAAAAACACATGAAACGCACATTCACACTCGTACCGACACACAACCTGAAGCTAAGTGCTGAGCTAAAAGCAAGAACCTGTAGCATTAAACTACGTACGTTCATGCAGAAGGGCAGCAGAACAGGCTGCTGGGTGTAGCCCCCCGCCTGCTCCTCCTCTTCCTCCTCTCCTCCTCCCTGCTGATGGAGCTCCTTCTCATTACCCCCCTCCTCCTCGCCGTCCTTCACCTGCTGCCCGCTGTAGTAAATGATGGGCTGGATGCAGTCTCCGTCTGCGAGCAGGAGTGTGTGCCTCTCTCCCGCGCTCACGTCCCACACTCGGATCCCCTCTGACAGCTGGATGAGGAAAGCAGATGTTGAAAAACACCAACTTACACGATTGATGTGCATGAACGGGAAAAGAGCGGTGGTCTCCTGACCTTGGCGAGGCGGGGGACGGTGCTCGGTGACTCCATGTGTCCCAGCTGACCAGAGCTGTTACTGCCCCATGAAAACACCTGGAAGGTATAAAGTACACACACATACAAGAGTGAGGTCTCTGAATGAAGACACAAAATGGGCTTTTACTTGCTTTGACAGGGTTAATGTCACTGCTCTGTGCCAACAGCAGGTTTATTTTCATGCTTATTTCTGGATCCTGATTGGTCACTGTGGCGTCAGAGTTATTGATATACATCCACTTCTTAGTTTTGCATGATCAAGACATTGCTGATCTGTGCTTTTGTCCTTTTAATGTCAAAACAAAAACAAAAAAAACTGTTGATGTAGAACTGCTCATCCTTTTAAAATATAGTTTCTACTTCGATTCAATGACCAACCTGAGACTGAGCCGTCAGAGCGAGGGAATGGTGATTGCCGGCCGCCACCCGCACCACCTCCTTGTTGTTCAGACTCTTGATGCAGAGCGGCTGCAGTCTGCAAAGACACACAACACACTGCTGGTCAGAGAGCAGCCGTTTATATCAGAGTTAATGACATGCTATGTAAACACAGACGTGAGTCCACTGTCAAGACAACAGCAAACAAAAAATGTCAAGCCTTAAAATTTTGTATCAGAGGACAACTGATATTTTTGAGACCAATACTTGGTGATCAAACAACTGGATATATCAGCCGATATTTTCTGTTAAACAAATACATTTGCTAGGTTTAGATATGAGTTTTTATTACCATAATTTGACAACACAGTTTAAAAACAATTTTTCTTTTCATTGTCACAAGCCCTGGATTATTCATTTGGCACGACTCCTCAGATCAGCTGCTTGTTGTTTGTGGCGTTCAAACCACGTGTTGCAAAGTGTCCACTAAAGGGCAAACTATGCAACATCAAACCCTTTTCTTTATTTACCTTTTTACTTTAATTTATTGGAAACGTTTTTTTTGTTTTTTGTTTTTGTTTTATGACCTTGAACATTTGCCTTTATGGTCCAGAGATCCTGTTATTACTGTGACAGGTGTGTCCAACCTGGCCAAGTTGTCTCCGTGTCCCAGCTGCCCATGCTCGCCGTGGCCCCAGCTCCACACCTCTGTCTGCAGGGTGGGCAGCACCTCGTGGTCCTCGGGGATGGCGCCTCCCAGCGGGGTGAGGGCGACCGCTCGCATTTTGGGACGACCGGCTTTCCTTAGCAGTCGCGGTGACACTGCAGGAGTCAAAAACAGAGAGGTCTGTCCACTGCACAGACATTTAAACAGCTTCAGTATTTTCCTCTGTTATTTTTCAGTTCTTAATATTCTAATTACTAGCTTCCGGCTGAATGAAAAAGTTATAGCTGAATTTTTTACGAGATAATAAAATGATGAGAATCAGTTTAGGGTGTAAAGTTCAGACAAACAAACAGGAGTTTAAAAAGAAAGGCAAGCCTGCACAGAGACACATCAGCCAATAACATCATGACAAACACTCTATGGAAGCCCTGAGATCCAAAAATCCAGACGGTCAACTTTCAAAGAAACTTTTTTCCTGTCCCAAGTCAAAAGGTTATTGTAGGTTACTTGTTGTATGTGTGAGGCAGGAAGTGCATCACTCCCCTGCTTTAAAGCTTCTCAAGAAGGTTAGCAACATTAGCAACATGTGCAGCATTTTAGCTGTTGGGTGTAACTAACTGGAGTTTCCCAGCATGCTCTGGGACATTAAAGGCTACTAGAACAAAACTGGAAAGAACACAAGCCTTTACCACAAATATCAGTCATGTAAATGTGAGCATGGTGAGATGGTGGTGAGAGCGTTGTGTAACTTAAACTGAACAAAAACAAAGAACGTGCAGACGTACAGGAAGTCTGGAAGAAGGTGGTGTCCTTTGCGATCTCCAGACCAGGTGATCAGCTGGTTGTTAGCCACATAACAACGTCACAGTACACATTAGTGTTGCCGTGCCAATTGTGGAACAAAGCAGCTAGTCAGCTTAGTCTTTGGTGGAAATGGGATCAATTATCAGGATATCCAAACAGCAGCTAACTGATATCCAGCACCAGCCACTCTTTATGAATGCAAATTCGCCAAATATCATTATCAGTTGACAGTCGATGGTTTCAACAATGCATATGGACCCAAGCCATCCCTGTATTGAGGCTGCAGATAGGCTGTTTACCTCCATGCGTCCAATGCAAAACCTTCTCCACTCTGGAGACCCACATCTTTGTCTTCTTCATTTTAATCTTCTTTCCTATACGGATCGCCACAGTGACTGCCTACACCTGGCTCCATTTCTAACATCCTCCTCTGTCACACCAGCCCTCTGTATGTCTTCCTTCCCTAGATCTGTGAATAGTCTCTGAGGTCTTCCTGTTTTTCTCAGGTTCAAACCATCTCAGCCTCTCCAACTTTTTCTAAAATGCTGAACCTGAGCTGTCCCTGTGATGTAGTCCTTGCTAATCCGTCCATCCTGGTGACTCCCAGTGAAAATTTGAACACCTTTAACCTCGTGTCTTTTTGTTAGTGACACCGTCTCCATACCTACATCATAGCAGGTCTCACCACCATCTCGTAAATCTTCTCTTTCACTCTTGTTGCTATCCTTCTGTCACAAATCAATCCTGACACTCATCTCTACCTGCTCCACCCTGCTTGCACTCTAATTGACCATTCTTTCTCAAAGGCCTAAAGATAATCACCTACACTGCCCAAACTCTCTTGATTTGGTTGTTGGCATATAGCACGTGTAAAATGTCTGTGTGAACTCGTCTGGCAGGTTTTAGGGTTTCCTCATCAAACATTATCTATCAGGTCTTTAAAAACCGACATTCATAAGATGTCAGCTTATAAACCGATGATGAAATCTATAGCCAACCGTGTCAGGCTCTCTCAGTGAGGAAAGAAAGATATGATGACAGACAAACAGGCAGAGGGAAAGTCCATCCATCTAATTCCCGCTCTGGGTCACTCAGAAGCAAAGGGCTTTCCCATAATGCACCAAACACCCTTCTCTCTAAATCACACCTAAAACCTTCATTCTGCTCTATTAAATCTGCCAAATCCTTTTGTTCTTGCTGCCGTTTTCTAGAACAGTGAAACACGCTGACAGGAGGAGGTGATCATTTTAACATGAAGCATTTACAACCCAAGCAGCATTTTGCTTTTGTTACTTTTAGAACTGAAATATAGAAAAATATCTTATTAATTTTAATTATTTATTTTATTATTTACTAAAATATACTAAAATATTGTCTATGTGAGTTTTTCAGTAGTATGTGTGTGTGTGTGTGTGTGTGGGGGGGGGTATTTGGTGTGTTATCCATTTGTTTGGATACATCTGTTAATAATTAATAAGTGGCGTAGTGACCTTTGACTCTTATACACGTCACATTAAACAGATGACTTGACTTTCTTCTCATTTTTTAAAGTGCTCTTGCGCAACAGTTCTCCAGGCTTTCTGAGGGCCCTTCAAAGGTTTTGTTTTGCTGCTGTTTCAATCCTTTTCATTGCAGTCCTTGTCCCTGACCATTTTCAGAGGAATGTTTTTTGTTTGTTCAGCCACTTAACACTGACCTATGAATCATTCAAGTATAAAGAAGGCTCTTAAGTCAAGGGATGAACCAGTGCTGCATCTACACATAACAGATAACTCAAGCTCCAACTTAATTGTTTTGTTTTTTTTTATCTTTAGGCACTTTGTTACTGTATGTTGCTATTTCTTTAATTAAATCTATGAAAAATCTGAAAGATAACACAGTCTGATAGAAAACAGTATTTTTGCACAAAGAAGGTGATTCCTAAAAATCCTGGCATGCTGTGAAGTGGGGGTCTAATAAGAATCTACAGTAAATTAAAATTATATGAAAGTCATGTTGTTAGGAAACATTAGGAAAAATTCCATTAAAGACTTGACACAGGACCTGAGAGACACATCTGGACCTTCAGTTGATCCATCTACTGTTCACTAAAGCTTCAAAAGAAATGGTCTCGGTATACTGGTAAGTGCATTTGCATATACACAAGAATACTCCTAAAAACCTTGAACAAAACAAGTCATCTGTATCTTTACGATCAATCAGGCCTGGTTCATGTAAAAAACAAAAAACAAAAACATGCACTTCACAGATATTTAAAGGCAATCAGAGATGGAGTGGCTGGAGGTGACACTGTGCTGAATATGACAGAAACATCACATGGGCACGAAGCATGCCACAACACTGAGCTCACAAGTTCAATAATGAAGCCTGAAGCGTGCACGGACTGCCATCGACCTGCACGAGCGCAAGGCGTACTTACGCAGCAGGCCATAGGAGGAGGATAAGAGGTGAACAGCGTATCTACCCTGTGAGAGCAGCCCTGGCAGTGAGAGGCGGCGCCGCAGACCCTCTGCCTCCTCTTCACGGATGTCCCCTGTGCTGGAGCTCTTCTTCCCCTGCATGGAGTCCTCCTGGCGGACACGCTCAGCAGAGTTATCGACCACTCCAGGGGATCCTCCTGACCGCGAGGCCCCTGAGGGGAGGTAGAAGTTCATCATCTTTTTCAGGGACAGGGCCTCGTAGGTGGAGGCCACCCGCCCGCCCACTGCAGAGGCGCAGGAGGCAACCAGGTTGTTGAGTGCCGAGGTGGGGGTGGAGGAGATCAGTCCTCCAGTTGAGGGCTGGAAGAGAAGTGAAAGATGATTAAAAGTTTAAAGGAGTTTGGGTGGAAAATGGAAAAAAAAAAAGTTGTAGTTTTTTGTGACTTTTCAAATACATTTTTGAGTGAAAGCCGTCATTAGATTTTAGAGAGTGGTGGTCTCCCATCCTGATGCTTTTGTTCTGGCAGTCAAACGGCTTCAAACTACACTGGCAGCATTTTAGAATCCATAAACAAATACTGTCAAAAATTACGCAGTTATTGTAGCCACAAGCTAAATAAAACAACTAGCCTAATGGTCAGCTTTTGAACTTTCCAGTTATTATTGAACATATCGTGTGTGACGCATTGTTTCTTATTATAACTAGAATCCATACAAAACAAAACCATGATGTGGTGATGAGCGGTGCGTCTGACTTTTCCCCACACACTTGAAAGTTTCTTCTATGTTTTCTGGAAGCTTGTTTCTGTCACTGATTTATCATCTCAAAATGTTTACTTTTTAGTCAACAGGAAGTGGAAACAAGCTTCCACCGTGTTTTATACAGTCTACAGGTGAAATGGATTATGGCTGCTCAAAAAACCTTTGTATGCATTGGTGACAACTACACTTTTTACACTCATTAATCACACAAATGCCACTTTTGCTGTTTTCTTTCTTCTTCTTCTTCTTTTTTTTTTTTAAAATGACCACATAATTCTAAAACTTCACAAAGGGCATTCCTCAGTTATTTCTACTTCTAAAAGCAGTTGCTCCGGACTTCAAATTACAGTGAAAAAGCAAATATTTAACAAAAAGCATCCAGAAACAGTTTGAGAAGTTTAAGATTAAGTTGTCAAACCAGCCCCATGACCTGCTGGAGTCTGCTCCTAAACCATAGCTGTTGCTTCCTATATTGGAACAGAGGAAGTCTGAAGCGAAACTGTAGCAGCAACTTTTCTGTGTTCCAGCAAGAAGTTCCTCCACTGATGTTTCAGACCCACCCGTTTGCTGACTTGAAGCTTAAACTCATCTGCTCCAAGTTTATAAAAGGGGGAGGTAAACCTTAAAGCTGAAGTCACTCCAGCAATCATGGCGTCTGATTTTTCACGTACTATTGCATTAAAGGATAAAAGCAGTGACCAAGCCTGCTCAGTTATTTTGGTTGATATAGATCTCACGACAAGACATTTCAAAATCTACTTCAAATAGATTTAAGTAGCAGATTTGGTGAATCAAAAAAACCAAAACAACGAATGCTTGTTTTTTCTCTCTACTGTCATGCTGCTCACCAGCAGAGCGTTCAGCCCTCCGCTTGCCTGTGTGTCCGTCTGTGTGTTGTTGGACAGCTTCTTCAGGTAGTCCTTCACGGCCTGCTCGTCTGGATATGGTGAGCTCTTGGCCCCAGCAACAGCACCACTCTCACCTCCAGATAGAGCCGAGGTGTCTGAGTCTGAGACCTGGAGCATGCCATTAACCAAAGATGCTTCCCCTTCCTCAGAGGCCTGAGGTTGGGAGGGGACAGAGGTGGGGTCAGCGACTGTAGGCGCTGCCGGGGACTCTGACTTTGAGGTGTAGGAGGGGAGGACAGGCTCTGATGGGGATGTTTTGAGACCTGTGGTTGGGTTGGGAGCCTCCAGCTTGCCGTCATCCTCGGTCAGCTCCACGCCAAGCGGGCAGTAATGGCTGTCAGAGATGATGACGTGGTCCTCTTTGTCTGTCATGGTGTAGAGCAGTTCGTTACACCTCCCACATTTGTCCACATGAGGCCGGTGGCCATCGTGAGAGCCCAGGCAGCGCACCAGAGCAAGGCTGTGAGATGCCCCGCAGGCCACCTGTAAAACATACCGGCCTGCCAGGTGCTCCACCTTCTGAGGCTTCCACACAGGGAAGACGGCGGCGTTGAGGCCCAGCTGGCAACCGCTGCCCCATGCCCACACCTCACGCTGCACCGACAGAGCCAGGGTGTGCTTCTCCCCACAAGCCAGCTCCAGCACCGGCACCGTCTGCGGGGGGACAGTGACAGTGTCCAAGTCCTGCAGGGCGACGGGAGTCGGGTTGGGAACAGTGCTAAGGCCCGACAAGCCGCACTGTCCCGCACTGTTCTCCCCCCACATGTGGACGCCGCCATCCTCCGTCACTGCCCCACTGTGAAAGCTTCCGGCTGCGACTGTGACCACCCGCTGCCCACTGAGTGCGCTCTCCAGGGTCGGCTTGGCTGGCTCTGGCACTTGACTCTGCTTCCACGGCAACTCGCCGAAGCTGTACACCTGTCCCCCTGAAGAGGATGTAACAACAGACAATCACTGTGGGTTAACTTTGATTTATCCAAAAACATCAGAATAAAGATTTAGAAATCACAACATAAAAGCATGACTTCTGATCAATACAAACAGTAAAGACAGAATGAATTCATGAAGATGTGCTTAAGTATCGACTATGACTCTGTGACAAGTCATAAACATGTCCCTCCAAAAGAAAAAGAAGTTTCACCTTCCACCAGGAGAACGCCATGCTGCGAACCCAGAGCGACCTGGAGGACCGGCCGGGGGAGGAGCAGCCTCTCTGGGGTGACGCTGTAAGAGTAGCCCTTCCAAGAGTGGAGCAGTCCTCGCTCGCCGCCGCTGCCATCGTCCCAAGAGCTGGGGGAGAGGAATCGTAGAAATTAGCAAGAGTGAATTAGAAAGGAAGTCTAAGAATCCTTCCCTAGGAAATGTAGGGAACTGGGTACTGTATTCTGTATTTAGGACCTCATCTAACAAAACTGAGGAAAAACATGACAGAGAATCAGAGGTGCGTGGGTGGCTGATAAAGCAGAGCAGAGGCAGACAAATCGCCTCAGTAGGCGTTTGATCCCCATGCCCCTCACTTCTCCTGAACAACAGATGTTTTGTCAGTGAAAGCAGAAGTGAGCACAACAACTCCATCCTTAGGCGATGTCACATGGTGATCACAGGCAGCCAGCTGAGTGGCATAATCCTGCAGAGAACTAGGAGGGGGATGACTCTGGGTAGACCTACCTCTTACTCTGGGTTTCCATCAGTGGGGTTGATACTCCTCTATCAGCATGTCAGATTCAGGACTCCTCCTATTCCTCCTCCTGCTGCCGCCGCTGCTGCTAATTGAGGTTCTGAAAGCAAAAGTACAAACAGTCAAACATTATCAGTCCAGCCACCTCGCAGCCACAGTGACTGAACTATGGGGGAATATCCAGAAGGAAACCCCTGAAACTCAAGCCAACAGACTGGGATGTCACAATAAAAGTGCTAAGTGCACATTTTTATGTATTTAACCCCTTAAAACTCTTCAGGCATCTGTTATTAGCCGCCGGTAGATAACATTAGCTGATTAGCCACAGAGCTAGTTGAAACCACAGGTGTCGCTGCTCTGTTTTCTGGATTTTAAAAATACCTTTATTAAAGATACATTTCCTCACCAGCCGGCCGTCTGCGCTGCTCCTCGAGGTGTTCACGTAAAGAGGTCGCTGACACACGCGGTAGTGAGCGTGTTTAGACGCTTTCTGCTGCTCATTTCTGTAATGTTGACACGCTGAAGATCGTCCAACTGTCAGGAGGTCCCACTCCTCCGCGGGAGCGAGCCGCAACGAAGAGAGCGCGCCCTAAAGGGACAGCACACATATTTTTATAGGACGTGTTGTTGGTATCACAAGTTGGAAGATTTCAGCTTTTGGTGAGAGGAGTCGCCTCCAGATCGTATTATCTGCCATATTAGCAGGGTTTCATAGGCGGGAAAGTTTCAGGGCATCAGTAGAAAGTTCACAGATTAAAATGTAACATATTGTATGAACATAGTCAGGCAGACATGTTTATTATAGCCAAAAAACGAACAGTAAATACAGCACTGTGCAAAAATGAGCCACTTCTCACATCAGTGTATTTTTCTTGGAAAATGGGAAATAGCAATAAAGCTTAATTGAAACGTGCAGACTCTTAGGCAGCTTTGTTGCATTTCTTTAAGTAGTCTTCAGGAATAGTTCTCCAGGCTTCTCGAAGGACATTCAAAGATCTTCTTTGGATGTTTCTGCCTTTCGTTCTGTTCTCTGTCAACATGATCCCACACTGCTTCAATAATGTTGAAGTCTGGGTTCTGGGGAGGCCAGTCCGTGACTGATGATTGACAGTGTGTTTTTCTTTCCAGGTATACTTTTATTGCATTGGCAGTATGTTTGGGATCATTGTCATGCTTTTTCCAATCAGATGCTTAAAAAATCTGAAGACAGCCTGGAGAACTATTGCTCAAGAGCACAAATTGTGGGCTTTAAACCCTGGACCGCCAGGGCTTTTGCATCTTAGCCACCAGAGCACTAGATCCTCATGGTTCCTTGTGCAGGTTATCCACAACTTGAATCCAGAGTGAGGTAAAGCAATGTTTTTAACTTCACAAGGGTAGTTTGAATCTAACTCAGTGTGGCCCCTTACCTAGAACCAATTGAGGAGACCAAGGGCAAAGTTACTTCTGACAACAGCACTTCTGGGATGCCTCTGGATGTGAGGTGTTTTGAGCATGCCCAAAAGCAGGAGCCCCTGGGGCAGACTGTTTTTAAAACAGCATAGAAATAGGAATATTATGCTTTTCCTCACAAATGTCAGGTTTAAATGCCACACACAGTCCAATGGGCAAGCTTTAAAAAGAAACTACAACAGAGTGAGACCTCTTATTTGTTTCCTGCTCTCAGGCCCGGCTCAGCTGCTGCCGTTGTTGTGACAGACTCTACGGAAACCCAGAGGGCTCAGGATAGAAAGAACGCAAAGTCTAAAAAGGGGTCAACAAATACCCTTATGCAACTCTTAATGACTTTAAAACAGTGACTGGCACTATTTCACAACAGGGCCTTTATATAAACAGTTTTTTGTAATATTTATATATAAATACTGAAACATATTTAATTTCTCATAATTTTCAATAATAAAATGAGAAAATGCACTAAATACAAATCCTGTAACATTAAAGTCTGTAGCCTGATCTATGGTATTGACTTCATTTTTTTTTTGCTACTTTCATTTTATAAAACAAAAGAAAAACAGAAATATAAAAGAATAATCTCAAAACACAAACCAATCGCCTCTGGCACCTAAAATATAAAGGGGAGGTTGAATAAAAAGAAGTTTTAAATATCAAACAGCAACCATACATGTTATTTATCCTCCCAAATCAGAATCAATCTATACACATTTGAGTATCAGAAGATAAAAGTTGGAAATGTTTCCACAAACTGATAACAAATAACACTATCAATGTGTTTTATACAGATATGTCCAAGGAAGATTTTATTTTCAGTTGGTGAACTTTTTTCATAAACTTTTAACTATGACCTATAATTACAAAAAAAAAAAAATTGCGTTACCTGATATTTTGATGTATGTTTTAGTTTGTTTGGTTTTCAGTATTTAAATGTGTCACTCGAAGAGGATAAACAAGATAAAAGATGAATGTAGCTTCTGGGTTGGAAAAGTGAAGCCAATGTGGAAGTGCCTTAAACTGTTATTCTTACTCATATCCAGGAAGAGGGCAAATCCTGCGGTTGCAGAAAGACTTGTGGTTGTTTGGAAGCTACACTTACTGCATAATTTATGAGTTACACCTTTCTAATACTGGTTTGGACCCTCTTTGCCTTCTGAGCTGTCTCATTTCTTAATGGCACAGATTCAAAAAAGTTGCTGGAAACATTCTTCACTGATTTTTGTTCCATGTTGACATGACAGCATCAAACAATTGCTGTGGATTTGTTAGCTGCACGCCCATGATGAGAATTTCCTGTTCCACCATATTCCAAAGGTCCTCTGTTGGATTGAGATCTAACAGTGATCATGTGAGACCGGACAGTGTGTGCACCGCGGATGACGTCAGTGCGCACGCTGTGTCTGGGGAGGATGTGCGGAAGTGCTTCAGGAAGGTGAACGCACGCAAAGCTACTGGTCTGGACGGGATTCGCGGCCGCGTCCTCAAGTCATGCGCGGCTCAGCTGGCTGGAGTGTTTACACACATCTTCAACCTTTCCCTCTCTCTGTCTGTAGTCCCAGCCCGCTTCAAAATGGCCACCATCGTCGCTGTACCCAAATCCTCCACCATCTCCTCATTGAACGACTGGCAACCTGTAGCCCTGACCCCCATCGTGAGCAAATGCTTCGAGAAGCTGATCAGGGACTTTGTTTGCTCTGCACTGCCCGACTCACTGGACCCTCTACAATTTGCATACCGCCACAACAGGTCCACTGATGATGCCATAGCCCTGACACTACATACTGCCCTCTCGCACCTGGAGAAGAGAGACACGTATGTGAGAATGCTGTTTGTAGATTACAGCTCAGCATTCAATACCATCGTTCCCTCGAAGCTGGACAGGAAACTGCAGGCTCTAGGACTGAGCAGCTCGCTCTGCAGCTGGATCCTTAACTTCCTTTCTGACAGACGCCACGCGGTCAGACTGGGCAGCATCACCTCATCCCCCATCACACTGAACACTGGTGCTCCACAGGGGTGTGTACTGAGCTCTCCTGTACTCACTCTACACCTACGACTGCACAGCCACTAGCAACTCCAACATCATTGTGAAGTTTGCGGACGACACTACAGTTGTGGGGTCTCATCACCAACGGTGATGAGACGGCCTCACTCCCTGACCCACTGGTGTCAAGACAACCATCTCACCCTCAACGTCGCAAAGAGAAAGGAGTTGATAGTGGACTTCCGGAGGTGCAGAGAAGTACACACCCCCAACCAGCAGACTGAGAGACAGCTTTTTCCTGCTGAACACTTCATAGACCCCTCGCCTTCACTACTGGAACTTCAACATTATGCACTCCACACTGTACATTAATGCCACTTGTTTTGCACAATATCCAACTACCAACCTCTGTATATTTTATATATTTTATTTTATTGTTTACTCTATTTAATTTGTAAAATATGTATACACACACACACACACACACACATATATACACACACGTAGATATACATATTTAGTATACACATTCAGTAATATGCATACACTCTTATATTGTAGATATATTTATTCATATAATTCTCAGATTTACCCATTCTTATATTTTGCTTGTTCTTATGTTATTGTATTTTTGCACACCTCTGTTGCTGTGAAGCTCGCACACAAGAATTTCACTCACATGTACTGTACCAGTGTACCTGCACGTGTGATGTGACAATAAAAGTTATTTGATTTGATTTGAATGTTGCAGCAGAAATTAAAATTCATCAGATTGGAAAATGTTTTTCAAATCTTCAAATTTTGGTGAGTTGGTGTAAACTGTAGCTTCAGTTTTGCTATTTTTACCTGACAGAAGTGGGATCTGGTGTGGTCTTCTGCTGCTGTTGAGATGCTCTACTGTATACCTTTGGTTGTGTGTTTTTTGTGTTATTGTTGCCTTCGAATAAGCTTGAAGCAGTCTGGCCATTCTCCTTCGACCTCAGCAAGACATTTTCCCCGGAAGAACTGCTGCTCACTGGATATTTTCTCTTTTTTAGTCCATTCTCTGTAAACTCTAAAGGTTGCATGGGGAAAATCAGCAGTTTCTAAAACAGTCCGACCAACAACAATGCCATTTCATACCCATTTGATGCTTAGCTGCCATGTGTTTGACTGATTAGATAATTGCGTTAAGATCAGTTGAACAGGTGTACCTAATAAAGTGGCCAGTGAATGTGTGTGAAAACAGCCATCAGCTCATTCACTCTGTGACCTCAGCAAACGTTTTCTTGCTGACTTTACTTGCTCAGTCGCTAGTTTCAAATCTCACTGAATAAATCATGAAGCTCTTTTTGTAAGTTACGATCATTATTAGATTATCCTGGCTGTAGCGTCATCAGTTCCATTCATCACATCCAGATTAAAAATACAAAGGTGGCAACAGTCAAAAGAGTCAGCTCGAGGTTTCGTAACAGGAATTCACTAACCAGAGAGCGACATCACAGTTGTTAGGTCCATCTTTGACACTGTTGAGGGCTAAAAGGCAGGTCAAACTGTTTCATATTTTTTGTTTTTGTTGGGAGCAAAGTTCAACTCCCTATTATTATTATTATGTTATAACTGTACACTTTGGCATTTCTAGTCTGGCCTGGTGTCAACACACAAACTTCCAGACTCCCTAGAAATGAAACGACTTTGGATGTAGCAACTCCAGAAATGCTCATTCATCTGTCACCCCTCTGCAGTCAGCACAGTCAAACTTAAGATTTAAGGTCCTCCAGCTCTCCAGTTCACTTCTCTCCTTTCCCTGGTGTCGTTTCCACTCACTGAGTAAGGTGGCACTAAAATCAGCACTTTAATCTGCTGATTCAGGCACTTTGCATGTCTGACTTCCAACCCCAGACATCACTTCATTCAAAATAGAGAAATAGAGTCAAGGGATGCTATCGTGCACCGCCTGATTGAAGTTGAGAGACTATTGACCTTGATGGAGTATGTGTGTGTGTGTGTGTGTGTGTGTGTGTGTTGGCCTCAGCAGACACTTATAATCTAACTCTGATCTTGGAAAAAGTGCTTACTTTCCGACCTCTTTCCCTTAAAAGGAATATTAACAGGAGCTTTGTGGAGAGG